GGAGGAATTCACGACCTAAAATCCAGCTTCGAACGTCGAACGCAAGGCCTTCCCTGCGATCGGGATTTTAATATAAAATAAATAACGCGCGTCGCGGCGTTCCCAGAATGCCGCCCCAACGCGTTATTCAAACACAACGGCAGCGTTCCGAAAACGCCGCCGCACCAGGATAATCCCCCTTAAACGACCCCTTAGTCGCTGCAGGTACCGCCTGTGACATAACATTTTAAAGCGAATAGTTAAGCAAGTAAAATTACAAAAACCAATTTGAAAAGAAAACAAATCACGGAGTAGATATAAAATTACCTCCAATTTTTCAGCCCACCATTCAACGGGAGCATCAATTGTCCGTTTAATCGGATCCCAACCCAAACCTGTAAATCCATGTTTCAACTCCTTCCATATTTTCCATTCCTTCTTTAATTGGTCCCATTTATGTTTGAATTTAAGCTTGTCGTAATCTCTGTCAGTTAGTTCTTTGAACCACATACCAATATTATTCCAGCCCTCCTTATTAAAGTACGTTGTAGGCCGTTCCCCAGCTCAATTTCTTTTATACATAGATCACAAAATATATTGGTGACTTCTTTATCCCCCATTGCAGAGGGACCCCCTTCAAATGTCTTACCCATTGTGGAACTATATGAATAATTGTAAGTATCACATAATAATCAAATTATATCAATTACCCAACAATTGTGCAAATAAATGCTAAAAAAGTGCTAAGAAAAAAAAACACATGTTTTTTATGTGGTTCGGTCAAAAACCTACATCCACAGTAAGACATCGAACATGTTTTATTATCAAATTTTTAATCGTGCAAAGCTATATTTCTCACTAGAGAGGACTACAAATATAAAACATGTGTAATATGCAAATTCTAATACATGTCCTTCAATTCAATTCCAACAAAGCTAGGATTATCCGTAATCCCATAATGTATCAACTTATGTCATCACCAAAATATTCATGCATAGATGTATGTAGCAGCCACATTAATCTAAAAATACCAAAGGCAAATCTAATTTTCATTGACAAAAACTG